TTTTTACACTGTTCGATCCAGAATTCTATAGCTGCCTATAGATCACAAAGATACTCTTCCCATGGGTGCTTAAGGAAACCTGCACAGGATTTTTGTTGTGATTTATTTTAGGTGGCAGGTAAGTCTTTGAGCCACCTAACAGCCCTTTCTTGGAAGAGAAGTAAGATGAAGTAAACACAAATTATGGAGAGCTATACAGCAGGTAGAGCAATAGGGCTGGATCTTTAAAAATGTAAAGTTCTTCTTCTCTCCTTTCCACTCCTCTTTTTTCTCTCCTTTTCTCTCCTCTTCTCTCCTCTCCTCTCTTCTCTTTTTCTCTCTTCCCTTCCTGAAGACTCCACCCAGAAGCTAGTAGGTGGGGCATCCCTACAATGGAGGTTGCCATGGAGAGCTAGTGTGGGTGTTGGGATCCAAGCAAGGGGACTTCTGCAGTGTCAGAGCTAGATGTCCAATCTCGAATGGGTGAAAATGAATTCATAATGGGACAAGGAGACAACAGAAATCTCATTGTATAATAGGAGACTGTAAAATAAACATAATGAAAATAATTAGAAGCCAGGTTTCTCATTGTCAGAGAAGGAAGTTGTAAAACTAGGGGAAAAAAGAAAATGAGAAAGAGCCTTGTGTTTGGATTGGAAATGGACTTACTAGTGTGAATGTATGAGTCTCAATAAATATAAATGCAAATGTGTATAAATACATAAATACATTCTCTGGCTCTGTCCACTGAGAGGATCTCAGAGCTATAATCCTTAATACAAATGACCCTAAGTAGGCTACAGATCTCATAACTTCTAAGTAACATTATCTACTAAAAGAACCAAGAGTCCCTGGGGGTGGGGGTGATAAATGGCTGACTCCAAAGCTAAAGCATGGGAAACTATAAGGTGAAATTGCTATATCTTGTGCTAGAAAGTAAGGAAATACTCAAAGAATGACAGAGAAATAACAAAAGAAAACAGGAAACTCTGACAAGAGTACCAAGACAACTCAATGGAGAAACAAAGCAGTCTTTGTTTAAAGTAATGCTGAAATCTCCAGATATCCACAAGCAAAACAATGAAGTTGGATCCATACATCATAAACATTAACTCAAAACAAATCAAGGACCTAAATGTAAGAAAACAAAAGCTATAAAACTCTTAGGAGAGTATATATTAAATCTTAATAGCATGAGATTTGATAATGGCTTTCTACATATATCAAAAGCACAAACAATAAAAGAAAATAAATTGGATTTTGTAAGACATTTTTGTGTTTCAAAGAACAGTATTGAAGGGCCAGGGATTTAGCTCAGTGGTTCTGCTGCCTTGCAAGTGCAAGAACCTGAGTTTGATCCCTGGTGACCCCCCCAAAAAAAACAGTATTGAGAAAAGTGAAGAGAGAGGCATGGTGGATATATTCCCGCATACTAAAAGGTTAAGGCAGGATCACAAATTCAAGCCCAACCTGGGAAATTTTGTAAGACCTAAAAAGGAGTGGAGATATAGCTCAATGTGAAGGCCCTTGGTTCAATCCCCTCTGTTCAACAATCCCCAATGCCAGGGGTGAGTGAGGGAAGGGAGGAAATAATCTGCAGATTGAGATAAGATATAATCTACAGAATGAGAAAAAACACTTATTAATCATGTAATGGCTAAGGGGCTTGTATCTATAATATATTTGTTTAAAGCTCAAATAACATGAAGACAATCCAATAGAAAAGTGGGCAAGGGATGAACAGACATTCTTCACAGATGTACAAATGGTTGATAATGCATAAAAAGATGGTCAACATGAAATGCAAGTTAAAACCACGATGAGAGGCCAAAGATTCAGCTCAGTAGTGCAATGCCTGCCTTGCAAGCACAAGGTCCTGAGTTTGATCCCCAGTACCAAAAAAAAAAAAAAATTATAACAAAATACCACTTTATATTCTAGAATGGCTATAATCAAAAACACAGATAATGGCAAATGTTGGTGAAGATGTGGAGAAATTGGAACCTTTATTCACTGCTAAGGGAAAATGTAAAGTGATACAGTCACTTTGGAAAAAAGAGTAGCATACTGAGAGCAGTTAACATATAGTTACACACCCCAGAGAAATGAAGCATATAGCCATACAAAAACTTTTACAATGACTTTCATGAGTACATTATTTTAATAGCCAAACTTCCAATCCAAATGTCTATCAACTCACAGATAAATATAAAATGTAATGTGCCCACACAGTAGAATATTATGTAGCCATAAACAGAATGAAGTACTAATAGTACTACAATATAAATGAACCTTGAGAACCAGAGATTTAGCTCAGTGGCACTATGCCTGCCTTGAAAGCGCAAGGTCCTGAGTTAGATTCCTGGTACAAGAAAGAAGGAAAGAAGAAAGAGAGAAAGAAAGAAAATAAATGAAACTTGAAAGCATTTGTGCTAAGTGAAAGAGGCTAATTACAAAAGGCCATCTATTATGTAATTCCATTTATATGAAATGTTTAGAAATGGCAAAACTATAAAGATAGCATATAAATTAAGTTACCCAAGGATAGAAGGTATGGGAAGGGTGAAAGATGTTAGCTAAAGTGTACAAGGCTTATTTCTGAGAGGATGAAAATGTTTTAAAATTTTAGAGATGGTTGTACTACTCAGTGGATATACCAAAGACCACTGAATAGTGCAGTTTAATTAGGTTAATTATATGATATGTAAATTATATCTCAACAGAGCTTTTACCAAAAAATGACAAAGAAAACATCTTAAAGGAACTCCCAAATTTGGGACAATAAAATGAGCAATGACAATAACAAGTTATAACCATTAAAGAGTAACCCATTTGTTGATACCAAAATAAACAACACATAGTATGATGAGAAGCAGGATGTATACATGGTCTCAAAGGTCCTTCTTATAAAATACTTGTTAATTATAAAGGAAAACATAATTACTTGACAGGGAGAAACTTGGCAGACACCATCTTACTCACTAATCGAAGTTAGCAGCAGTGGGATAAAATCAAGTCCCAGCTAAGAGGATACAATGAGAAGAATTCAGCAGAACTCTGGGTGCATAATGTAAACTGAATCATTAGGAAACACCAGACAAATCCACACAGAGAGATACTGTACATAAAAACTGGCCCTGAAACTCAGGTAAAGCCTAAAACTGTCGCAAATGGAATGAGACTAAAGAGACTGGCAACTAAATACAAAACATAATTTCTATTGGATATTTTTGATAGTAAGGAACACTTTCTTAACCACTGGCAAGATTTCATGAGAGCTGAGGATTCGATGGTGATAGTGTTAATTTTCTGATATTGATGATTGCATTGTGATTATGAGGGAGAATATCCTTCCTTGTTAGAAATACAGAAAAAAGCATTATGTCAGCAATTTATCTTCAAATCAGTCAGGAAACCCAGAAGGGAGCTTTTCTGTAAATTTTAAACTGTTTAAAATAAAAGAAACTATCATGTATACAAAATAAGTGGCCTATATTCTTCAAAATATCCCTTGTAAAAACAAAGTAAACTGTTTCAGCTGTAGCAGATTAACAAAACCTTGAAAATTAAACGCAATGAATGATACTGGACTAAATCCTGTCCAGAAAAAAATATAATGATAAAGAGAACATTACAGGGGCAATTAGCATGAAATCTGAAGATTATGTCATGGCGTGGTGTCAGTGTTAAATTTCCTGATTCGATCATTGCATTGTGGCCATGTAGGCAAAGATCCTCCTCCTAGGAAATACACACTAAATTATTTAAGAGGCAGGATGTCTGCAACTCACTCTCAAATGCCTCATAATGATAATTTCATAAAAATGTGAAGAAAGGAAATGATAAATCAAATTGAGCTAAATTTGTCCATAAATTTGAAATTGTTTTAAAAATAATGTTGCAATATTAAAAACAAAATGAAATATAAAACGCAGTACTATATAATTAAAGGCACATGCACACAAAACAATGCATATTTTACAAGAACACACAACAGCAACAAAAACAGAGTTAACTCTACTCAATGGATTGGCTGGTAAAGCAGCAGGGAGGAAGAGAATGGGAGTATTTAGGCAGAAGAAAATAAATACACAACTGTTTTTGAAAGAGTCTGGTAGAAAACCTCCAAATGTCATATTTCACACTTCTGAGTAATGCAGTATGATAGAGACAGAGGCAAGCATAAAGAAAGGTTTTATATTTTTCTTTATACTTTGGCATTGTTTCCATTTTATGATAGTAATACGTTTATATATATGTATGCAATTTCTAAAGCAGAGAGAAAATGGTGAACATCCCTATAATTTACCTTACCCAATGATTTAAAATGAAATAAAGTTCTGTCCACTAAGTAAGAAGAACGCAGCCTACTGTTGTCTTGAAAAAAACAAAGTGGGTGGGAGACAGCTCAGTGGGAGGGCATTTACCTGAGATGCACAAGGCCCAGAGTTCATATCCCAGTGGGTGGGGGGAATAAAGGTAATTTGCAGAGTAGCAGGGATAGTAAGAATCATCATTGCTAAAAACATAGTTTACATATACAACCTTATAACTATGAGCCATGCTTCTCCTGGAAGGAGGACTTATGTTACCTTACAATTTTAAATAATCATGTAATGCATGAATATATTCTCATTATGGCTAAGGCCAAATAACATATGCACTATCATTTTAAAAATATGCTATTGTTTAGAGAAAGGATTAAGTACAATTCGTAGTTTTAAATAAGGAAATGTAAACCCTCTTTGGACCAATCACAATGTACAACAATAATGATCATGTAATCGTGCTTCTATTAATAAAGCAACCTTTTAAAATAACACAAATGCCCAATGGCGAAGTTAGCAGTTTCCAATAGCCTTGACCTGGATGCTGAGAGTTTCTCCTTCCGGGCCTTTCCCACCTGTACTCATGCTCTGAAAATGCACCTCTCCAAACTCAGCATACTCCAAGGCCACTGCACACAAGTTTCCGCCGTCCCGTTGGGCATCTCTGGTATCACCTTCCCTATGAAGCCTTACCTTTCTCCAGGCAGAAAATGAACTCCACCCTCGTGCTTCCATTGCCTCTTCCCTCTCCTTCAAGGGCTGGCCACTTTGCGCAGTAATTTCTGTTTCCTGGTCGGTCTCTGAAAAGGCTTGGGGTGCAAAGAAAGTGTCTTAAGGCGAGGACTAATTGTTTACATCTACACATTCCAGACGCTTAACACCACGCTGCGCCCATCACGCTGCGCCTAAGACTGCAAAATAAATGCCCGCGAAAATTGCTTTGGAAAGCAGTTTGGCAATATATTAGCAGAAATGAAAATGTCCCTATCCTGTTGAACCAGTAAGGATCCTAAAGAAATAATCCTCCCCAAGGAGAAATCTGTATATTTGAAGATAATCGGTTTGCGCATTTATTTTTCAAAATCTGAAAACGCCTGAACATCTGACAATTGAATGGTTTAAGAAATAATACGTCAAAACATAATAGCAAACGAATCTGCCGTTTAAAAGTGTATTTCTCAGGATCATAGCACGTAGCAAATATTTTTCTTCATAACAAATATTTAGGTATGACTTCACGTAGAAGAGTCTGAATACAAAAATCAAGTTCACAAGCGCTAAAATTATACAAAATCAGGAAGCACGTAAAAAAATGACTAAAGTGGTCTTTTGGAAGAGAACGCTGGAATTTTTTTTTTCTGCTTTTAATTCTATCATTGTTTTAAATGCATGAACAGTGGTTGGAAGCAACTTTAAGAGGGGTCTCAATATTGTTTATATGGCTTAAAATCAGAGAGAAGAGTGTATTTTCATGGAGAGGAACGCATTTCTAATGGAGGTATTTCTGGTACCTGACCGGCAAGTGGGCACTGAGGCCCGGGAGTGGCAGTCTCAGCTTCTCTCAATGCAAAGCCACAGCTACCAAGTCCAGTTGGACCAAAGTACATAAAGGGGGCCCCTCACGACGCGTTAGTTCGGTAATAGCGATACCGGGCAGGCTGGAAGGAGGCGAACACTGGTTAGTTGAGTGAATGAGTTTTCTCCCTTTGTAGTGGTTTCCCGGGCAGCCACCTCCAGTGCCCCAGCAACACCCACCTAATAGACGGATTCGGGGAGATTTTCGGGGAAGCGGCCGCCCCGGCTGCGCTTTGTTCGGGAGGCGCGTGATCTCCCAATTTCCGGCCCCGCCCCTTCCCACTCGGCGCCCCACCCCACCCCAGATCTAGGTCTTGGCCTCTGTGCCTCCAGACTTCGCGCCTTCTTCCATTGCTCGCCCGCCTTCCTTCTCCCGTCGCTTTCCCTTCCTGCTCTCGTAGAGCTCACCCCATCCCCCTCCCATCACCATCTCCCCCAAAATTTGCAAACTTCACCCCTGAGAGGCGGACTCTTAGGTTCTCCTGAAAAATCAGCCTGGCCCATTCCAGGCGTCTGAGGTGTCGAGGAGGCTAAGCCGCAAGCCTCTGCGGTAGGGGTCCATTTCTCTGGGCAGCATCCTTGGGAAGGCGAAGGCTGAAGCTGGGGACCGGAGAGGAGAGTCCCCGGGCAGCAGGACGAAGAGTGGGGACGCGGGAGATGGCGACTGGGGCGGGGCCACCTCCACCCAGAGGCCCGAGAGCGCTCTTCTGTCCATCTGCTTTCTGGGTCTTTTCCTAAATCATTCACCTTGGCGGAGACTTCAGAGTGGAACACACACTTCACGTCCCACAATCTCCCTAAGTTTGTTTCCTTGAGTATCCAAGACCTCCTTAAGAGACAGGAAGCGGGAGCTCAAGTAACAATGAATAAACTGTCCTAAAAAAGAGTCCGGGGCTTGCAGAGCGACACACTTCTCTCTTTAGGAAAAAGGCTGTCTCGCTCAGCTCCCCTTGCAGATCTCTCTCCGCCCAAGCACAGAAGCACAGAGGGGTAGCGTTACGATTATTTTTACACAAGTAGTATCACAACCCCTGATTTGTTCCGCCGGGATATCACCGATGCCAGGGGAAGGGAGATTTGTTCTTAACCAAAAACTCAACAACAAAAAAGCAAAACAAAACCTCCTTTGCACTCTTTGGTGCCTTTTGTTGGACTGTGGTACCTATTGTTGCTTGCCGAGAGGTGCTTTACCTTGCTAGAAAACAGGTGGTTTAGAAATAAAGGACACGGGATTAAAATCTCAAAGAGCAGTATGTATAAACTGTTCTGCGGGTCCGCTGCCCGACCCCGGAACTCGGACACCTTCCTTGAAACTGTCTCAAACTCGCATCGGAGTTCATCTCCTCTTCGGCCAGTTCCTTGGCCAAGCTCCAGGGTGGGCGACGCCCTTGCCC